CCAACCCAAAATGACAGAATTAAGAGAGAGAGCAACTTAAGAACTCTAAAACTGGACCAAGGTTAAACACAGCTGAAGAGAGCATTAATTATCTGGAAAGTAGGTATGAAGCAGTTATTTCAACAAAGCATAGAATGTTAAAAGGTTTGAATTCCCAAGGAGAACATGACACACAGATTAAAATGGGATGATCTAACCAATGATCATTCTCTGAAAAATAGAAAAGTAAGACATCGATCAGGAAGAAAGGGGAAACATTGTTTAAGGACATAAAATTCACTTATTCAAGATGAATGAAGAAATATCATTAAAAATGGGTTACACACGTACTCAAAACCATCTTTTAAACAAAGTTATCTTTTCAAGAGTGAAAGCAAATAAAGATAATTTGAAAACATTAGAAGGAGTTTACCATTTATGCACTTGCATTGGAAGTCTTAAAGAAGTCCTTTGGTCACAGGAGAAATGAGTTCAAATGATACCCCAAACATGTAAATTTCCATTCTTCTTTATCTCCCATTAAGCTATGCATCACACTTCCTCTCTAAGTCATGATCTCATCTATAATTCTTTTTGTTTCATATACACAAATACAAACAACACACTGAGTCCGTTTTGTGTTACTCATGTGTTTTAGGCTGACCACTTTGGGATAAATAGTCTATCAGGGGGCTTGTCTCTCAAACAAACGGATCCTCCATCTCCAGTAGACATTGACTGACTGTAATTCTTCAGCTAACAGCAGGGCCTTGTGAAATTGGTATATTGACTGGTATGAACATTATGAAGGTACTCTTTAGACAATTCAATTATTGATTTCATGGATACAACATCCCTGTCAGTCTAGAAGGCATGTCCAGCAGCAGGTGTCCTACCCCTCTGGCTCTCATAACCTTCCTGCTCTATTTTCTGTGAAGTTCTCTGACCCTCTGGTACCACAGTAGTCACCTGACTTTAACTGGAGCCATTCACATCAAGCCACTGTTTAGTGTTACTTGCAAGCGTTGACTCTGGAGCCATTCATTTTTCTAACGTTGTTTCTCTGAAGATGTCTTTCCTCCTTTCTCTGTCTCTGTCTCCATCTCTGTCTCTATTTTTATCTCTACCTGTCTCTCAACATGAAAGTCACAGTGTTAGACCTTGAACATGAATAATGTTAAGGAAAGGGCAAAACACATTCCTGGATTGAAATGGAAGAGGATGGGATTGGGGGGTCAGAGCAGGGAAAGCAGGAAGAGGGATTGGGAGGGGAGGATGGGGGGAGGATACTGCCAGGATGCAAAACAAATAGATGAATACAAAAGAAAAAAGGAAAGAAAGAAAGAAAGGAAGGAAGAACGAAAGAAAGAAATAGTAGAATGAATAATAATTAAGCAGAGTGTGGTTACTCAACAAAATTGTTTTGACTAGCACAAATATGTAAAACTCAGTCATCAACTTGGATGAATACCATTCTACCTAATCATATTTTTAAATTTATAAAATTTGACTCTATTGTGTACTTAATCAAATCTCAAGGCATTTAGATCCTTTTAGTAACAATGCAGCTAAATTGCAAATCAACAACAGATTGTAGCTCCCTATTGTAGCAGGATTTATAGAAATCCAGAGACAGAAATTGGGTTTCAATCTGAAAGTCAGAAAAGCAAAACAGCGAGCCACTGACTTTTACCTCTACCTCAGTCCGAAATCGCGGTGCTGCCTCCAGGAATCTCAGAATGAGACTGTATGTGTGAACTGATTCCTCCTGTCTTATATTTCTCTCTAGTGCTGGGATTAAGGCATGCACCACTACCGCCCGGTTTCTATGGCAAACTAGTGTGACTACTGGGAAAAAAGGTGTTGTGACTGCCTGATCTGTATGGCTGATCAGTGTGGCTGTTTTACTCTTTGATCTTCAGGCAAACTTTATTTTTTAAAATACAAATGAAATATCATTACACTCTATTCAGTATGAATTCTGCATTTTGAAAACTTTCTGTGAACTACTTTGTTATTAAACAACAAATGTACACATACGGAAGAGAAATGGGTGAACAAAGACAAAGTTCTTTATGCGCAATTGCAGAGTGACTTTGTGGCCATCCATCTTGGTTGTATAACCTGTCAAGAGATGACCAGCACCTTGATGGGTCCTTCGAATACTGACTGTGGCAGGATTTTAGTGAAAGGGGCCCAAGGTGCACTCCACAAGAAACAGGGACTGATGCAATTAAGAGAAACTGAAGAAAGCCAAGCCTATTAGGTAAGTTATCCCTATTAGGGACCCAAGGTATACTCTTGGCTTTGGCGGATCAGGCTTTCATTGTTGATGCAGTGGGAAGCCCCGGAGGGTTTATCTGTCGATCAGCACATTTTCTGCAGGGTGTGGACCACCACCCACGAACTGGTGCTTGTTTAAATGCACCAGTTGTTCATTAATTCAAGGGCTGAAAATGAAGGCAAGGGCTGGACCATTATGAAAGTCTAGTTTTGAAATGTGAACTGGAACACATAAAGACAACCAATTTGATTTAAAGGTATTTTAAATTTACTCCTAGAAAGAAATAGGGTTTTCAGTCGGGAGTCAGTTTATTCTTAGGAATGAACATTTCTGAGTGTGCTCTGGGCCACGGGCTTTCACTACTGTTCAATCTCTGATGGGCGTGCACGCCGCCTAGGCAAGTGCTGAGCTCTTGGAACGCTGTCTCAGACAGGGACATCTGATGCATGGGTGTTGCCTGGGAGGAGGGGACCCAACACCTTGCAAGCTGCCTGAGAGATTCCCAGAGTGCCAACCACTTACATGAAGCATCTTACTGAACTGTCATTTAAAGTTTCCATATGTTAGGAACTTGGATCAAGACAGTCTTCTCTTCATTACTCTTTTCATAAACATTATTTCAGAATATTTGCTTGTAAACTGCAAGCTCTTTCTCCCTCCCTCCCTCCCTTTACCTCTCTCCCTTCTTCTCTCCCTCTCTCTATCTCTCCCTCTTTCCCTCCCTCACCCCTCCCTTTCTCTATGGCTCCCCATCTCACTGGTGTTAAATGCCACATTACTCTGTAATTGGATGGTGCACTAACATAATTAGATTTTGCTTTCACTCTCAGACTTAAAGTAAAGCGGGAAGCAGTGTTTTCCTTTCTGCTGTTCAGGCATAGGCAGCGGAAGGAAGGGGCTAAGATTATGTCCTGCTGAATCCTTTCTGGCTTACTGTGTCAGCAATGGTAATTGGCAGACCCTAATATAGAAGCTTTTTATATATAGTTGTTACCTTGGATTATTCCCCATACCTCACTCTATGACTTCTTCCAATAACTTTATAAAACTAGAAATGAAGGGAAAAAAGTACTCTGAGGAAGACCGCCCATGGCGTACTTAGCCAGTGTTACCAGCTTCCTCCTGCAAACGACTTTCTCTTATACCTTTCTGATCATGTGTTCATAGTTTTCAGATTTATGTAAAAAATGGACACAGAAAATTTCAAGGTTCTGAGCTGAAAATAAAAAATAAAACAGGTTTGGTGAAAATATACAGCCCCAGAGTTAAAGCAAGACTCTGTTTCCTTTCTTCCTGCAGAACGCCAGTGCAAGGCTTCAACTACACAGGCGGGATTGGGAGAACTGTTCTCCAGCTGAGATGAAGCCCAAAGCTCCTCCAGGTGGTAATGCTGAGGTGCAGTGCTGAGGCAGCTATTTGTGTGCAGCATGAAAGGTTTGTGTCAAATCTACCCTCTCAGAGACCTGTTACAATCTTGTCTAATGGCTTAAGGATTTGGGCTCAGCTCTCCTCAGTGTCAGCGTCATAGCTAAAGCAAAGAAGAACTGATTGATCGTTCCTGACAAGGACATTTCTGACGAGTTGCAGAGTAGATTTCAGAACATCTTAGTCCCCCAGGTGTCAACGAGAAAGAGAGATGTTAAAGACTGTCGAGCCTGTTAGAGGAGCTCTCCCAGTCAACAAGGAAGGAAGTGAGGCTGGAGGCGGGACAGCCTGGCCTTACTTTGGCCAATGATATGGAAGTCAAGTCAGCGTTTTCCTTCTTTGCTGCTTGGAGGGGACTGTCAACGCCAAGACTGTCATTGGTAGAAGGCTGCTTGAAGGCTCATTTGTGGAGGTCCAAAACTGTGAGCCTGTTCCACCTTATCTGAAGGTCAGAGAGTTTGAGCTTGCACAAAGTTGTTGACCACAACTATGGTCACACACCCTGACCTAGAGTGTGGTGACTTTGTGTTTTGGACATTAAGATAGCCCATAGAGGTAGATCCTCTCCACCCTGACCAAAGGTCAGAGAATTCAAGCATATTTCTGCTCCTTTTGGAATAGGAGGTTTGACCTTGGGAGCATCTGCCTTCAGTATACTTGGTCTAGGATGGGTTCACTGCCTAAACAACAGAATGCTTTTTTCTCAAGAAATAATGACTTGATGTCTCCAGTATTTGAGCAAATAAGTGTTCTGGTTGTCCTTTGTATCATGTTAAAGCAATCTTTTGCCTTCTTCCTCCCTTTCATATTGGGGTATAAAATTGTATGGAAAATAAACATGGGTGAATTCAAATTTCAATATTTGTTGAGTTACCCTCCTGATACTATTCTCTGCCTCTGTCTTTCTTTTCCTTTCTTTTCTTTTCTTTTCTTTTCTTCTCTTCTCTTTTCTTTCTTTCTTTCTTTCTTCTCTCTCTCTCTCTCTCTTTTTTTTGAGACAGGGTTTCTCTGTAGCTTTTTGGTACATGTTCTGCTCTTGTAGACCAGACTGGCCTCAAACTCACAGAGATCTGCCTGCCTCTGCCTCCCAAGTGTTGGGATTAAAGGTGTGAGCCACTATGGCCCGGGTCTGTGTTTCTTTCTATCTCTGTTCCTCCTACTTAACACCTCTAATCCTCATGCTCCTACCCTGGAATGTATGAATCCCCAGCAGCTAGAATCAGGGCAGAAGTCACTCTTACAAGGTGACTCCTGACACTTCCAGACTCTCCTTTATGTCACAAAGGGAATTCCAAAATCTGGGAAATGCAAACAAGGATACAGACAAGATCTTGGGAGATGTCCACTAAGTGGGCAGGGCTAGAGAGTTTACAAGGGCTCTGGAAGCTTCACTATGCATAACGAACTGTGAATTTCCTCAGAGTTGCTTCACACATTCCAATATACTGGGGCCTACAAAGGCTCAAACATGATGACAACAGGTTTCTTCACACTGTTTGTTTACAGTGTAAGTAAATCCATCTCTGCAGAGAAATTAAATAAGCCTATTCAAGTGTCATGGAGAAACACTGATTTCAGTCCCCATGAATTATTCCCTCTTGACTCTCCAGAAATGCGCTTTAAACAACTCTATAGTAAAATTTATCTTCTTGTTCCTAGGTCTCACCTTTATTTTCAGAAAAGCAATATCAAAGAGATGCCTGATCTCCAAATTGAATTTGTTATAAAAGGAAAATGCTAGAAGCAACTCCTTATGAACAGAAATGGATGCTAAGAGTCAGGTAAAGCCAGGAGGCAAAAAGGAATACCCCTCACTGATGCTGGGCCATCAAGTAGCAGAGGAGGCTTAAACATCGCTGCTGCTTTTGAAGCTGCAAAGGAACAAACTTCCTAGCTTTGATGCTGGTTTAGTATGGCCGACTCATGCTCAAACACACCCAAATGCCTGGGAGCAACGCTCTTTCACCATATTGCCAGCATTCAATCCATATCATTGGTTACATCCAAGCTATAGGAGGGGTCTTTATTTTTGCTGGCTACTGGCAGGAAGGAAAAGAAAAATATTTCCTGGGGGAAGTATTAAAGGTTAGGTGCCAAGACCCTTTCTGATATTTTCAGTCTTGCGGTGTGTGACCTGAATATCTTAGATACAGTACAGGAAAAGCAGGCCATTTTCCTCCTCAAATTGAGATCTATTTCAGGAGAAGGGAACAGCCTGTTCGTGTCTTCAGATTAATTTTTCTTCCCAAACATTCTTCTCGCAGAATTATTTTTCTGAACATTTTCAATACACCATCTGATTAAGTCATTATTTTTCATTATAGACATGCCATTTTTCTGTATTCCTCAAAAGAAAAATGGTCATTTAATGCAGTCGGTGGTTTACTTGTCCTGCCTTAGAACACTGTTTCATGAGATGCTCTTTGTAAATCCTTGCAGCTCCTTCCTAATTGGACCGCTGTTACTTTCCAAGATGCTAATTGTTGCCTACTTTACATTGGGACAGCTACTTCAAAGCAGACACGACTTGTCCTAGTTCAGGCTAGGGACATGTCCAAGTGTAAAATTCCTTGACTCATTCGTGCAATTTCATGTTGTATGAAAATGACTTTAGGAAAAAAGATGCACCAAAGTTAGCACAAACAACTCCCCTGTGACAAATACAAGTTTTTTAAAAGAAAATATTCCTTATTAATTGATATGGGATGTTTGATACATCCCCCAATTTACACATTGAAGCCCTCACTCCAAACATATTTCGAGATGGGCCTTTAAGGAAATAGAGTTAAATGAGGTCACAGAGTCTCAACCTCCTGATGCCTTAGGGGAAATACAGCTCTTGTTCTCTATTGTTGAGTGTCAGTAATACCAAAATGAGTGGCCTAAGTTAGGGGTGTATATTTGCACAGTCTATCCAGGTAAGTTTATGTATAATAGAGCAAGGGCCCTGTGGAAAACCTTGAGATCTACACTCCCAGTCACAGGCAGAACAGCACATAGGTAAAGCTCAGAGCAGGACAGACTGCTGCCATCAGCCCTGAAGTTTTCTCATGAAGGTCAAGCCTTGTTTTTTTATCAGATTTCCCCAGGCCGGAGTCACCATCTTTCTACCCATGTACATGTTCACAATGGACCTTCTTACGCTGACACCCTTTTGTTAAACATACGGCCACATCACTTCTTGTACAAGAAGTCTTTCTATTGGTTGATGGTAATAAAATGCATTAATGTGTCATAATCAATCAGTTCTGGTAATGATCTGAGGAAGGCTCCCAGGGTTCAGCTTCTGCTGGTAAGGCTGCTTGTGAGCATTCATAGAGGTGCTTACTTTTACTTCTTCTGTGTGAATGTCTAGAAGAGAAACTGTTTCTGGGTCTGACCTGAGTGTTACTGTGAGGAAGCTGCTGCTGCTCAGATGTCTGCGTCGGTTATTACTGCCATCAGCGTGTCAGCTATTGTACAGCCAGCCAGTATGGATGATGTCGCTTTCAAAATTCTGGACAGTCCATCAAGGTACATCATCACCCCTTTCTGTGAATTTACCTCCTGACATATCGGTGTATCTTTTAAATATACTTAATGTGAGTGTATTGCAATGTTTTGCTATTTTTATTGGGTTATTCTCCTTTATGGGTGATTTGTGAGCATTTCGAAAAAGTTTTCTAAGACGTCCCTAGTCAGATATATTTGTATTACAAAATCCTCTATTATATCTCATGTTATACATGTTACCTATTATACCACAAATAATTGTCTATCCTTTATGGCACCTTCATTTACTTAAAATGGCTTTGCTAATGGGATATTGCAGAGTATTGGGAGTCTAAGCTTATAAGTTTATAAGATAAGATTTTGCATCTTATCTAGGAAACCTTTCCTTGAGCAAAAAGGTACCCGATCTCTTCTTCCAATTGCTTTATTTATTACCCTAATCATTTTTCATGTAGGTCTATGATCTGCATCAAATTACTTCTCATGTATGGAATGGTATAGGGGTCAGATTTAATTTGTTTCCCAGAACGGATGCCTAGTTTTGACAATAACACTTTCTGACAATGATTTTCCTGTTGAAATGGCTGATTTTTTTTCTTGGTTTATAGAAGTGCTGGGAGCATATCTGACTGTTTTGGTCTCTGCTGCTCCGCTGGTCCGGTGGGCTAGTGTTGTGTCTGAACCTCAGTTGGCTGAGACCTCCAGTAAGCCCTGGAATTTGACAGCACACGTCTTTCATGGTTATCTTATTTTAGCTAAGATAACTTGACTATTTTACTCCATTGTCTTTTTCTCTCATCTTATTCCAACAACTATAGAAGGACTTCGTGGGATTCCAGCCGCATGACCTATATTCTACTGAGTCTTTCCATCTGTTTTGCTACCAACCACTGACATAGACTGAATATTTTTCTAATTTTCCCCTTAGTTTTGTTAATCTTTACAAGCATTCACTGTAGTAGATACAAAGATATTTAAGTTTTTTTTTTAAATGAGTTGGCCTTTTGACACGATTGAACATCCTATGTCTAAAAGTAGGCTTTGTTTGAAGCGTCCGGGATTTAACACAAACACAGCAGCCTGTGCTTGCTGCTAACATGATGTGTTTTCCCTCATTACTTCACTTTTAGCATCGCTAATGTGCTTATTCCTTTGTTCTCTTGCTTGTTTTGCTGGTGGAGTTTAATGAATCTCCTGTTGTTCTGTGCATGACATTTCTTTCTTCCCTCCCCTGTGTCTCCATTAATTTGTCTGCTGACTTTTGGGCCCTGCCCCAGCTCTTCATCTGATTCCTTCCTGGTTAGATTTTCCTTTTAGTGTTTCAGGTTAAATAAAGAATTTTAAACTCTTGACTTGTATTTTGGTGTCTGATTATTTTATCTATTGTTTATTCCATCAGATGAATTAATCATTTCTGGTTCTATCTTCACTACTAACATTTTTTTTTTTTGGTTTGGTTCAGTCTTGATAATTTCTGGGTATCTGGTAAAATTTACAAGCAGCTTAACTATTCCTTGTGTCGGATAATGATTTCTATTACAGTTTTTAATATTCTGATAAAATCTCAACATCTGATTCACCCCTACAGGTACATCTTTTATTCTTTTCAAAACTGAAGCTCCAAAATATACATACTATGTATATGATATGACATAGAGGGATAAATATAGTTGAAAAGGTCAACTATAACGTGTCTGTCACATTACTTAGCTACTCATCCTTATATTTTATCAGCATAAGCTGATTTCTATTTATTTAGTATTAATGCCTTGTACATACATACAAAGTATGAGTAAGAAGTCACATATCTAGTACACATAAGAGGATTCTGAGTGGATAGCATCTATGATGGCTGCAGCCTGCTGTGTACTTCCTACACTGAACTGGACTCCACCAGGGCCAGCAACTTTTGCTGGCTCCTTCCCTTTTCTCCTCTGACAGCTTCCAACCCCACGGCATCTCTGTCTGCTACACTTCAAAGGGCCGTTCTTCCGCATAGCACCAATAGGAACACATCTTCCTTGCTGCCCTTCCTGCCGAGGAATCCATATCCATGCCTCTCATTGAATGATAGCCAAAACCTTTCCTGTAATGAACTTCCTGTCCCCAAAATCCCGTGTCTCTGAAGAGAGGCCAAAGGGAAGATGTTCAGAGTGTCTGGCTTCGGGTAGGTTGCCTAAGGTTTAAACAGGCTGCTATGTGCTATGTCTTGGTCTCACTGCGCAAGGTTTCAATGATGGTGACTAAGGCCAGCTGTGGTGGCTAGCCATGGTGACCAGCTGTAGCTCTTCCCTAGGTGTGAGTAAAGGCGCTGGTCGAGGTGGCCTGCAGCACACTGAGCGCTCCCTTACTTCTAAGAATAATTGTTGTGTTGGTGTAGGCTTGTGTGCATCACTGAGTCTTTGGAATCTTTGTAAATGACTGTATAAGGTCTCTGGGTTGTTATTCCATAGAGAAGAGACAATTGAAGCCTGTGTATTTCCTCGTTCTTTTTAGAAGCAGACATCCCAGTGCTGTTAAACTAAGACTTAAAGATGTTTTTGTGTTTGGATGGATTTCATTTTAGGGATTCACAGTGGGGTTGGTTAACTGTAATTTCCTAGCTGCATTTTTGCTTTCCTCTTGGATGACATCCACCTGCTGGACAATGTATTGCCCAAAATGACAAATGAATGGATAATGGTTCCGTTTTCTCTGTAACCCATTTGTTGGAACAAAGACTTTGGGCTAGACTTGACCAGCTCTTACTTAAGATTATCACCATTCTGTTTAATAAGCTTCTGGTCTTTGGTGCCCAGGTTTGGCTATTTGCTGGTGATGCTGCTATATACTATATAGCATTATATATTCTATCTATCTATCTATCTATCTATCTATCTATCTATCTATCTATCTATCTAT